TGTAAGATACTCTTAGTTGTTAACAAATTACATGTAAATTTTCTCAGTATTTGCTACTTCACATGTTGTTTTTTTTTCAGCTCAAAAACCTTTTATTCCATTTTGGTCTTAAATTCAAAATACAGAGTGTAGCTGACTTAATCATGTAAATTCATACAACATATTAAGCTACAGATTTAAGAATTGTAAATCCCAAATTCTATTCATGTCATGTGGAAAATATTAATTTTGAGGTCGTTGTTTGTAGTCAAAACTACCAGCTGGACCTGGTGGGAACTTTGCGTTAAGATTACCGGAGATTTGTTTTGAGATTGTCGTTTTCTGCTGGATTCTTTGTGTTGAGATTATCGTTTTCTGCTGAACTCTTTGTGTTGAGATTGTCGTTATCTGCTGGACTCTTTGTGTTGAGATTGTCGTTATTTGTTAGACTCTTTGTATTGAGATTGTCGTTACCTGCTGGACTCTTTGTGCTAAAATTGTCGTTATCTGCTGGACTCTTTGTATTGAGATCGTTGTTATCTGCTGGACTCTTTGTGTAAACGTTGAGATTGTTGTTTTCTGCTGGACTCTTTGTGTTGAGATTGTCATTATCTCCTTGACTCTTTGTGTTGAGATTGTCGTTTTCTGCTGGACTCTTTGTGTTGAGATTGTCGTTATCTGTTAGACTTTTTATGTTGAGATTGTCGTTATCTGTTGGACTCTTTGTGCTGAGATTGTCGTTATCTGCTGGACTCTTTGTTTTGAGATTGTCATTATCTGCTGGACTCTTTGTATTAAAATTGTTGTTATCTGCTGGACTCTTTGTGTTGAGATTGTCGTCATGCTGGACTCTTTGTGTTGAGATTGTCGTTATCTGCTTGACTCTTTGTGTTGAGATTGTCGTTATCTGCTTGACTCTTTGTGTTGAGATTGTCATTATTTGCTGGACTCTTTCTATTGAGATTGTTGTTATCTGCTGGACTCTTTGTGTTGAGATTGTTGTTTTCTGCTGGACTCTTTGTGTTGTGATTGTAATTATCTGATGGACTCTTTGTGTTGAGATTGTCGTCATGCTGGACTCTTTGTGTTGAGATTGTCGTTACAGCTGCTGGACTCTTTGTGATGAGATTGTCGTTATGTGCTGGACTCTTTGTGATGTGATTGTTGTTATCTGCTGGACTCTTTGTTTTGAGATTGTTGTTATCTGCTGGACTCTTTGTGTTGAGATTGTTGTTTTCTGCTGGACTCTTTGTGTTGTGATTGTAATTATCTGATGGACTCTTTGTGTTGAGATTGTCGTCATGCTGGACTCTTTGTGTTGAGATTGTCGTTACAGCTGCTGGACTCTTTGTGATGAGATTGTCGTTATGTGCTGGACTCTTTGTGATGTGATTGTTGTTATCTGCTGGACTCTTTGTTTTGAGATTGTCGTTATCTGCTGGACTCTTTGTGTTGAGATTGTCGTTATCTGATGGACTCTTTATGTTGAGATTGTCGTTATCTGTTTGACTCTTTGTGTTGAGATTGTCGTTATCTGTTGGACTCTTTGTATTTAGATTGATGTTATCTCCTGGACTATTTGTAATGTAATAATTGTCTTTAGAGGCCACAAAACATGCAGTTTGAGTTTATGCACAGTTAATGAATTCGAATTTAACTAATTAGCATCAAATTTGTCATGTTAACACAGTTTAAATTACTTAAATTAAATTGTCTGAATGAAAAGATTAGAGCAATTTGATCAGGTCTCAGAGCGCATTATACCCCCGTTTGAAGTGCAAGGGGGGGGGGTTATAGATTTATCAGGATGTCCGTCCGTCCGTCTGTAATGCTTTGGGGTATCCATCTCTTATCCGCAACTCCTTTTATACCACTGAATGAAATTTTATAGCACTTTCACAGAATTTTTATTCCGTCTTTGAAAAAGATTTGTACTTCGTAAATTAACATATCTACTTTAATTAAATGCTAAATAACAGCATAAAGTTATAGATAATATGTTGACAATTATATTGCAATTAAAAGAAAATATCTGTTTTGCTTTATTTTGAGTTAATTTTTGCTTAAAGTCCCCTATCCTTAAAACTTAGAGAAAGTGATCTCAAAATACCCGGTACACTATTTCATATGATAATAAACTTATACGTATGTTTTCTACAAAATTTAAAGGAACAAGAGGCCCATCACATGAGCCATATCACTCTATTGAGTAGATTTGGCTATTGTAGATGGGCTCTTCAACAGCAAATCGCGAGAATAAGAATTCGCAAATGGGCGGTTGATCAATAGTTATAACATAGATTTTAGCCCTTTAAACATAAAGACGAGTTATTTAATTGCGCATGTTGTGCTTCTCGTGAAATTACGCGATTATTAATTCAACATGCATATTTAGGAATCTACAGTATTCTGTCCCCCCCTTGTGTCCCACCCGCTACCCCATGGGTCAAAACTTAAGTTAGGACAAAACACCCGAGGATTCTATTTTAACCAATTTCTTAACAAATACCGAAGAAATAAAGAATAATATTACTATATTGACAACGATGAATGATCCCAGTAAGAAAAATAATATTTTTTGCATGTTTGCGTCATATTTTGTGACAAATCAGAGAATCCTATATATTGATCACTTGGAGGCTTACATTTTGCGGTGAGTTTATGCTATCCAAGTGCTATAAACAAGCATGTAACAGATGTTATAAAATGCAGTGTAACATTTCTTCCATAAATAGTAGAGGACTGATATTTGGACACATATATAAGGAGTATCCATTTTTTATGCACCACAACGGTCAAGGTCATATTAAAAGTTCAAAGGTCAACGTCATCTACTGAATCTTTTAGTTTTTATACCATTGAATTTTTTTTATCGCTAAAATATCTGAAATCACTGGATCAATTTTCTTTATTTTTACACATTTTATTCTAGGATCCATTTGGATCATTATGTTGATTTTTTGTAAAAAAAATAAATAAATAAATAAAAAAATGAATGTATTGTAAAGCGCTTTGAGTAGCATTTATGCTAGAAAAGTACTATATAAAAACAATCATTTTTATTATTTTCTCATTAATCATACATTTTCTCTTAAGAAAACTTAAACTGTCGGATATTTACATGTGAATTTTCAATTCCGATGCTAGCTATGTATGTTCTATTTATACTTTTATAATATTTTGCTAAAATTTTCCAATATCAATTTGATCGGCTGATTTAAAGTAACAAAAAAAGTTTCCTTTATTAAAAGTATAACACAAATTTGCAATAGATGAATTGATAACTTAAAATACTCTAGTAATGCTTATTCTCAGGTCGAATGTCTGATCTTCTTACAGGGTTCTGATCCATATTTCAGACTATGTGGGCAAAAAAAAAAATGTGTGGTTGAATTTCTTTCATATCATATATAAAGAGAGATTTGTATCCTCGAACAATGTATCAAAGATTCAGAAAAAATGAATTTGAGGAAAAATTTAGCGTTTCTATTGTGTCCTACCTTAAACAATTTAAAATAAAACCTGAGTGCCGAGTATTAAACAAAACTGTAGCTCTCTACCGGCAAGTGGTAGTGTCTCCATATGGGTGAAATATTTTCTTGGAAAGATTTTAAAATATTTTTCAATTTATATTTCGATGTCAGACTTGCATTCCCTAGTGTGGCCTCTCCCTACCCAAGGGGGGGGGGGGTCATGATTTGAACAATTCAGAAGGTACAAATTACCCTTTGATACTTTCTCATATGTTTCAGCATTTCTGGCCCAGTTGTTCTTGAGAAGAAGATTTTTTTTAATGAACCCCACCTTATTTTTGTCTTTTCTTGATTATCTCCTTTTGTCCCTTTATCTTAGCAATTTCATCTTCCCTTCAACAAAAGATGCCTGACCCGGCCAGTGGTTCTTGAGAAGAAGTTGAAAATGAGAAAAGTTTACAGACGGACGAAGGCGGATAAAATTTGTTCGAAAAGCTCACTTAAGTTTCGGGTCAGGTGAGCTAAAATATTTTTCCTAAGACAAACCCCCCCCCCCCCAAAAAAAAAAAAAAAAACTGATGGACAACAGTTAGAGAGATGGATACATGTAGAATGATTCTCATTTTCAATAACCATATCCAAAAGCAAGGTATATACAGTCAGTAACCTTGTTTTATGTCATACTTCTGTACAAAGACGAATATAGATTTCTCAGGTATTAAAATCAATGACCAGGTAACCAGGTAAATATTTAGAACGAAGACAAGGAAGTAAAATATACTATACGGGATTATCGGGGGACATGTTGGATTTAGAGGTTAGACTAGATTATGTATAGTAAATTTAACATGTTGCAAGATCTTTCTAGATGTCAATTATGGTCTCAAATTTAGTGCAATACATTTATATAAGCAGAGATGCATGAGAGTGCCATTTTAGATCTAATTGATTATATCAAGATTGCTTTGACTGTTATAAATTGTTGACATTAATTTTCTTCGTAATATATTTGTTTAAACAGAAAGAAAATGTTAACAATAAAACTACAAACATATCCTTTCTGTTCTTCTAAACCGACAAAACTAAACCCTTACATTGTAAAGATGTAAAATTGCGTTATATTTCAGTGACCTATACCTCCATTTACTTTATACAGGGTCATCTGAATTCTCGACCAAATTCTTGTGATGGACCCCCTGGATAGAGTTCAAGTTCTCTGTGACCTTTGTCAACGAGTTGCATTACAGAGTCACTGTGAACGTTGTCAGATTAACCTGTGTAAGGTCTGTGTAGGGGAGCATCTCTCTGATTCATCCATAAGACACAAAGTTGTGTCATACAAACACAGAACTTCTACTCCTAGCGTTAATTACCCAAAATGTTCAAATCACGACCAGAGACATTGTGAACTTTATTGTGAGAAATGTGATATTTTTGTCTGTTCCACCTGCATCTCCTCTGATGAACATCATGGACATAAATTAACAGACATCCTACAGAATCCCAGCTTCATGAAAGAAATTTTAAACAAGGATTTGAAAGAACTAGTGCAAAGAATATGTCCTACCTATGAAGGAATTGCATTAGATTTAAACTCTGAAAAACGTAACTTGGAAAAACATTATGATAAACTGACAACAGCTGTCACCAAACAAGGAGAAGACTGGCACAGAGAAATTAACATCATTGTCAACAAACAGAAATCTGAAATTGATGAGATGAAAACTAGACACCTGGCTGCTCTGAATAAACAGGAAAATGGAATCAAACAGATTACTTCTGATGTTAAACAGAGCATTTTTGATTTGAAGAAAATATTAGATTCCGATGACGTTTCCTTAGCCTCTACCTATAAATCAAAGAATGCTGAATTCAGAAGATTACCTCCTAAAGTCAGTGTTTCATTACCAAGTTTCTTTCTTCATCAAATCAACACAGAACTGCTCCATCAAATGTTTGGTTCTCTGTCAGCATTATCCGTTACAACAGATGAACATGGCTACACAATGAAGACACCAGAAGCTGTATCCTGTCCTTTTGTCAAACCACTACTTGATGAACCAGAGCTCATCACCACCATAGACACTAGGTATAGACTATACAGTGTTACGTGTCTCAGTGATGAAGAAATCTGGACATGTGGATTAGACGCAATCATGAAACTCTACAACCTCCAGGGCAAACTACTGAAGTCAATCCAAACCAAGTCGGGGAACATACCACGTGACATAGCGGTGACAAGGAGTGGAGATCTAGTTTATACTGACCCTGTTACAAGAATTGTAAACATAGTGAAGGATGAACAGATACAAGAAGTGATCACACTACAGGGATGGAGACCTTACCATGTCTGTAGTACCTCCTCTGGTGACCTATTGGTTACCATGGACAGTGATGATTATAAACAATCAAAAGTTGTCCGTTACTCTGGCTCCACAGAGAAACAAACCACCCAGTTTGACAGTGAAGGTAAACTTCTGTATTCATTTGGTGAACTTAAATGCATCAGTGAGAACAGGAACCTGGATATCTGTGTGGCTGACAATGGAGCATGTGCAGTAGTGGTGATTAATCAGGCAGGAAAACTCCGATTTAGATACACTGGTCATCCATCTACTAACAAGGAATCATTTGATCCATATGGCATCACAACGGACAGCCAGAGTCAGATCCTGACATCAGACCGTATCAACCGCTGTATCCACATCCTAGATCAGGACGGACAGTTCCTCCGTTACATTGATAACTGTAACCTACTACCATGGGGTTTATGTGTTGACACCAGAGACAACCTCTTTGTGGCTGATTATGACAGTGGTAAATTGAAGAAAATCAAATACATGTAATCAATGTGTTTTAAATAATGACATGTTTGTGATAGAATTGTTCCAGTAGCCAAAATCACAAGAGGTAGTTTAATTCACTTTCTAGTGTTGATGTGTGCGTGTGTGTGAAAATATTTTCAGTACTATCAATAAGGTATCACATATAAATAAAAAATCAATTATTTATAATAATCGTTTCAGAATTCTACCCAAGATTGAAATGACTTCTCAGTAATACATGTATAACGTTACACTGGAAGAAAACTTCAAAAGTTCAAAATGACAAAATGAATACCATGTTTAATTGCAAGCATGAAGAAAGAAGAATTATATACATTTTTCAAGTTGATCCTGTTTCATGCACTGCACACTGAAGGGTTGTGATTATACTGCACTTTTGATGCAGCTAGAATAAAATGCCATTAGATCTAAATTAAATGTACATCCTTTTAATCTAGTTATATGTAATTTATTTAAGAATTTTAAAATCACCAAAATAAATATTAACCACTTTTTTCCATGTTTTTCATGGATTTTTTGGGGCACATAGGGTGCAAGATAATAATGTTTGCCTGTATATGTAACCCAAAACAAAGATGAGGAAACTGATTCAGTTTCAACCTTTTATTGTAAATGTTTTAATTTTAATTCACATACATCTTTAATACATGGTCAAAAATGATTTCGACAAATATTAACGCGTCAAATTCCATGGGATATCAACTAAATCAACCCACTGTCAGTAGAACTAAATATTAAAAAGCCCTATCAAATTCTATAGACAACATCAACCATTTCACTATAGGGAGTCACCTGTGTCAGTTTATATAACTCATCAGCTCCCCGTGTTGAGCCTCAATAGTCTTCTTACTCTCCTTATGAGGGCCTCCACAAAGCTGTAGTGGGTCTTGGATTTAAAGTATTCCTAAACAAACAATGGTTTATATACATGTAAATCCAAAGACATTTTTTTTATAGTTAGGGATGAATTAAGCAAAGCTCATTTTAAAGTTCTTTGTATTTCTCATTTTAAAGTACTAGTATTCAGTGTTATATAATGCAATCTGGATCAAGTTGTACCCTATTATGGAAAAATATGCTAATTCAAATGTTCCATACGATAGGCAAATTTCCATTAGGTATTTAATCTCGCAAAACATTGAACCAATTTTAAGGCAGGCTGGAGGAAAAGGATGGACGAAACACTTTTTCAATTATGGCTGTGGGAGAAAGTTAAATGTGAACCATGGAAGGAGAGATGAACCACTTTTAAGGTGGAGATTGGGAAGGGGTAACATGTATTTGAACTATATCTTAAGATGGGCCAGGGGAAAGGTTTGGCCGCAACACTTGGCTGTGGGTAGAAGGTGTACGTAGAACTACGGTGGTGGTTGTGCTGGAAAGGGGGGTTATGAACCATTTTTTTAAAATGTTGACTGTGGGAGACGTATGAACTAATTTTTTTTCTTTCATTTTTGTACATTTTTTTTCTCATGGCGTCTGCCTATATTTGGAATCATTAGCTATCATTTCACTACCTGGTCAATCTTTTGTATTTTTTTAAGGAATGAGTCATGTATGGCAGAGTTTGCCGTCTGCTTCAGTGTCTATATCTTCAACGGTCACCCCCATCATAAGCTGTCTGTCTATGTCTGGTAAAGGATCTGCATCAGATTCGCCAAATGATGCGTGAGATATCTTGATCAAATCTGTAAACATTTTAAAAAGATTAACTTATCTGGGGTGCGTTCAACAGCGTAGCTGCTACGTAGCCGCTACGTAAAGCTACGATCTTGAACGGAAAGCTAACCTAGCTGCTACGTATGGAGAACTAGTATAAATATTTAATGCAACGTCCCAATGGTTTCTTTGGTTACAAATTTGCAGCATTCAAGATTTTTACAAAAAAGGAGGGTTATTTCCTCCTCCTCATAACTATATAGGTAGATCATCTGCTTAATACCCAGGGCAGAGAAAAAAAATTTCAAAGATTTAATGTATTTTCACTACATAATCAATAGAGCCCTGCCCTATCACCAGAACCCTGACCCTGGGGCCATAAAATTCACAAGTTTGGAAGAGACATTCTTGCTCATCAAAACTATGCACTCAGTTAGTTTATTTAATACCCAGGAGCAGAGAAGAAGATTTTTAAAGATTATAGTATTTTCACTATAGAATCAATAGAGCCCCGCCCTAACACCAGAACCCCTGACTCTGGGGCCATAAAATTCACAATTTCCAAAGAAGCATTCTTGCTCATCATAACTATATACTTAGTTAATTAATTGAATACCTAGCAGCAGAGAAGAAGATTTTCAAAGAAATAATGCATTTTTACTATATACTCGTTTTAGCCTCGCCCTAGCACTATCTTCAAATGTTAACGCACAACGCACGATGAAAACGGATAGCAATAGGTCACACGAGATCACTCAGGTGACCTTAAAATTGCTTTAACTTCAAACAAAAAACTTTTATGCCTATTTTATAATATCACTGTCCATTCATTAAGGATACAAGGATAGTATTGCAGTTGTTCTCCCTTGTAGTGCACGATTTTGGTGAGGGGAGTTTTAGCGAGTTTCGGTCTCTGATGAGATGTGAGCTTCTCTTCTACTCCAGAAAACTAAATAAACAGATTAGAACATCATGATATAAAAATAAATATACATAAAAGACATATAATCTAAATGACTTAAAATTACAACCTTCTCCAATTTCATATCTTTTGTAGTACGTTATGCTTCGATTTTATTATTTTCTCTGTACCTGTTTCAGGTCGTCTGTACTTAAAGATCAGCCAGACTCTGTAGTTTACGGAGGTGTTGTTTGTGTCTTTACCTGTTTGAGGTCGTCTGTACCAAGGTCAGTCAGACTCTGTAGTTTACGGAGGTGTTGTTTGTGTCTTTACCTGTTTGAGATCGTCTGTACTAAGGTCAGACTGACTCTGTAGTTTACGGAGATGTTGTTTGTGTCTTTACCTGTTTGAGGTCGTCTGTACTAAGGTCAGTCAGACTCTGTAGTTTACGGAGATGTTGTTTGTGTCTTTACCTGTTTGAGGTCGTCTGTACTAAGATCAGTCAGACTCTGTAGTTTACGGAGGTGTTGTTTGTGTCTTTACCTGTTTGAGGTCGTCTGTACTAAGGTCAGTCAGACTCTGTAGTTTACGGAGGTGTTGTTTGTGTCTTTACCTGTTTGAGATCGTCTGTACTAAGGTCAGACTGACTCTGTAGTTTACGGAGATGTTGTTTGTGTCTTTACCTGTTTGAGGTCGTTTGTACTAAGATCAGCCAGACTCTGTAGTTTTTGGGGGTGTTGTTTTGAGAAAACGGAGAGGTTAGCACTAAAAATTTTAACAAAAAAAAGAGATCCAGGGGACATAGCGCTCACCTTAATTAGCACATCGGCTAGTAAAAAGGACATATCTGGGGAGGGGGGGGTGAATTTTAACCACCCAGGGGATCATCATTTGAACGAACTAGAATAAACATTAGCTGAAGATGATTCCATATAAATATAACTAATCATGGCTTTGAAGTCATTAAAAAGATTTTTAATGATTTCCCTATATATTCCTATGTAAAACTTCGGCCATTTTGCCCTCCCCCCCCCCTACCCCCGGGGGTCATATTTTGAAAAAAAAAAATGACTTAACACTATCTAAGGATAATTTCACATGAGTTCCATCTTTCCTGGCCCAGTGGTTTTTAAGAAGAAGATTTTTCTAATATTTCTTCTATATTCCTATGTTAATCTTTTATAAGCCATTTTTGCCCCACTCTACCACCGGTGGCTCATGATTTGAGCAAACTTGAATCTACACTACCTGAGGATGATTCCACATGAGTTTCAACTTTCCTGGTCCAGTGATTCTTGAGAAGATATTTAAAAAATTTCCTATATATTCCCATGTAAAATTTTGATCGCCCATTTTGGCTCAACCTACCCCCGGGGGTCATTATTTGAACAAACTTGAATGTATACTACATGAGGATGATTCCACATGAGTTTCATCTTCCCTGGCCCAGTGGCTCTTGAGAAGAAGATATTTAAATATTTTTCCTATATAATCCTATGTACACATGTAAAACTTTGATCAGCCATTTTTGCCCCACCCTTACCCCGGGGGTCATGATTTGAGCAAACTTGAATCTAAACTACCTCAGGATGAATTCACATGAGTTTCATCTTTCTGGCCCAGTGCTTCTTGAGAAGATTTTTAAAGATTTTTCCTATATATTCCTAGGCCTTCGTAAAATTTTGATTTGCCATTGTGGCCCCACCCTAACCTCACGGGTCATGATTTGAACAAATTTGAATCTACACTAGCTGAGGATGCTTGCAAATGAGTTCCATCTTTTCAGTCCCAGTGTTTCTTGAAAAGAAGATTTTTTTTTAAATGCCATTAATTTTTCACTATTTCATTACTATTGTGGCCCTTCATTTAAATTTAATTCCCCATCCCCTTCACCTAAGTCTGCTTTGTTCCAAGTTTGGTCGAAATTGGCCCAGTGGTTCTTGAGAAGAAGACAAAAATGTTAAAAGTTTACGTCGACGCCGATGACAACGACGTCAGACAACGGACGAATTTTGATCAGACAAGCTCAGGTGAGCTAAAAATACAAAAGGATATGAATCTTAGGCTGCATACTACAACTTGCTTTGGATGCTGAATCTGACCTACATTTTCCGGATGAGTGAACAGGTTTACCTTTTTTTGGTGAAGGTTTCATTTCCAAGTTACAACGTACATGACAATTATAGTAATGTTTAGATTGATGAGCCCTAAAATGACCAAACCTGTATGGATAATATATCTTAGGATGCATGTTATATATTTTTGGATGAGTGAACAGGTTAAAGTTTTTATCTCCCGCTTGAAAAGTGGGGGATATTAATTTGGGTCTGTCCGTCCGTCCGTCTTTCAGTCTGTCTGTAACGTTTTCATTTCTACACGATATCTCGAGAACTCTTTGAGCTTTTGCAATGGAATTTTGCATAGCAACTTCCCATGGAGTAAAGAAGACCCCTATTGATTTTGAGGTCAAAACGTCAAGGTCAAAGGTCATAAATTCGCAAATTCTCTCAGTTATAACACTCTCGTTTCCGCGCGATATCTCGAGAACTCTTTGAGCTTTTGCAATGAAATTTTACATAACAACTCCCGTGGCTTATGGAAGACCCCTATTGATTTTGCGGTCAAAA